CCATTTAATTAGGTCTAAAATACAGCAATAATAAACTGTGTAACAAAGTTCTTCCTCTACCCATGACAATTGTGCTTTCCACTTACCTTGTCACAAAAAACCTTGATCTGGCAGTAGGCTCTGTGGATGGGTTTGTTGCTGCGATTGTTGTAGCTGTATGTATCAATCTGAATCATCAAAGGAAGCCCCTTTACTCCTTTTTGAGAGGAGAAGTCTGTGCTCAAGCAATTAACTGTGATGAAAATCTGTGTGCCAAAGAGATTACTTTTAACATGTGATGCAAACAACTATTAAAATTCTGGAAACACATGACAACAAATGGCAAAATAAAAGCAGATACCCCTTCTATGACCCACAGTCTGGCAATTCACACATTTAGTCTCTGCTTCTGTCCCAAGCCCAGCTCCCACACTGGGAAGAAGGTCAAACTTTGAAGGTGTGTGTCAGTGCTTCAGTTTGGATCAGAAGCTCACATTTGAGGTAAATCATTTGATTGTCCCGACTTACCCCACTTTGGTTCATCACCTGAGAGCTCAGAGTGCATGAGCTGGATTCTTTGTGGAAGAGCCAGACCAGAAGATGTGTCCTAGGAGCACACCTTACATGCTCCAGCTGCTAATGGTTGCTCAGTCCTTGGGAACTGACTAAAGATAATCTGAGACAAAACCTCCCAAAATGTGTCTCATGTGCACATGAGGTCTTTAGCCTTGACTTGTTTTGCACTACAAGTGTGCTCTGTATGTTTGCACATTTTGCTAATATGGAAATAACAAGATCATCCTGCATCATCCTTTCCAGCTGTCTTTTGGTCTGGCTTGTTCTTCTGACAGCTCACAATTCAAATTCAGTGTTGCCAACGTAAGTACTAACCTTTTTTTTTTATTATTATTTTACAAATTCTCTTCACCCTCTCATCAGCAGTAACACTTCCTCCATCCCACCAAAAGATACTCCTGACATTTAAGGGTCCTTCACCGTCGGTCTTCAATTTCAAAAATGCACCTCATCCTGTCTTTCAAACTGGGGAGGAGTTTCTCAAACATTTATAAAACTACTCCCTACCTCTTCTCAAAAGTCTTTTTACCATGTAGCAGCAATGCAACTTGACATTGCTCTCCATTCCTGGAAAGTGCACTGCCTGCCTTTGCTTCCAAAATCCATCCCATGCTTTCTTTCTACACCAACTTGTGTGTTGATAGCCATTAGTCATCTCCTCCCCTCTAATCTCCATCTTACTATGAGACAAGGTGTGCGTCACCCGCCATGTGTTAGTACAGGTCCTGGGAGAAGGGTCTCCTACTATTGGTTCTCCCACTATCAAGTCTCCCAAGGACCATTCTGATGCAAAGTAAGCATTGTGAACTGAAATATCAGTGACATCTTTCAGTCAGGATCGTGTGCACGAAACTTGAGACACAAAACTGGATTAAAAATACAGCTGTTCTTTCCCAGTGAGGAATATATGCACTACATAGTAATTTGGACCAATTATGTATTGGCCCAACTCTACTTTTGACTTTCAGTTTAAAAAACAAGAAAGAAAGAAAGAAACAAAACCCCCACCAAAACTGTGAACTAAGGAAAAGGACAGAGAAAACCACCAGTACATATTGCCTGAACCAGAATGATGTGAAACCTGCTCCAGCAGAATTAACACGCTCAGGAAGGAAGGGATCTGAAACAGGTCTCTCAAAAAGACCTGATACACATCTTGCTGGGCAAAGGGGAATCCAACAGGCGCCTGGACTCTGGGATGATTTGGGAAGGGTGAGCATGAATGAACCTCTCCCCATCCACAAGCAGGGAAAACCAAACCAAACCAAACCAAACCAAACGAACGCTTTGAGTGACCAGAATGCAACATCCCTAAGAGAAAAGGAGCTGAGAATAAAGAACTCTGAAAGGGCGGGGAAAAAAAAAGGTGGCGAGGAGGATATTTTACCTTAATGGCAGAAGTTAACATTACAGTCAGGGTTTTTTTATGATGGAGCCAGAACAGCTTGTTTGCCTGACTGAGCTAATGGCCCCTCTGCATTTCTGCTTCTGATTGTATCACAGAGCTGCATTTACAAATGAAATAGTTGAACTTTAACTGCGGGGAAAGGAGGGAGGAGGAGAAAGGCCCCAGGTGAAACTCTGATTTTGAAGCTGATAGTGTTATTTCTGTTTCATATTACAACTTGGTCTCCAGCTCCAAAGGTAAGCATGGATATGGGTGCATATGCCTTTGAAATATGATGGTCTGAATTTTCATTAGCCTTCAGACTCCTTTACAGTGTCAGCAATGTTCTAAACTGCGTGTGACACAGAGCAGTGGAATGAGGTTTGACATAAACCAGAATCTAATAAATATTTTAGCCCATACTTTAGCAGAAGTATTTTAGGAAATATTTTAGCCCATACTTGTGCACAGGGGGTTTCAAACTGTACGTTAAAATGTGAGGGGGGATATGCAGGCTTTGCACCTAACCAGCAGTTTGTGTATCGACTGACTACCTTTGCTGTACACTTAAATGAGAAGTAAAAAAACGATCTTGTCCCACCCTAATCAACTACATACACCGTATGTCATCTCTTCAGCTGCCTCCAGAAACACGGAGCAGAGTAGGAGCGGCTGGGGAAGACAGACTGTTGTTTCCAGAGTCTCCATGCAGCAATAACAGATTTTTCAGCATGAATAATAGATTGATGCTGTAAGATTCAATATCCTTGTCCTGACACTGCAATACATCAGGATCTCCCTGAGGAGCACTGACTTAGGTTCATGCGCACAAAGTGCCCTATACTTTCTGTCATATCATTTGCACCTCACAGATAGACAAGATGGATTTTTATTAACACAGATCATTTATTTTGGGGAAAATTTCCTGTCTCCACACAATCTTCTATTAGCTTTCCTGTAAAGCACAACACTGACTTTGGATTTGGAAAATGTAGGGGTGTGCAGAGGGAAGGGCAAGAGGGTGTAAGTTCTGTTACTCGAGTTTATTTTAGGTTTTGTTTGGGTTTAGGTTTTTATTTTGAATGACTGAAGATTTGCACAGGGTTTAACACCATGGTGCAGCAGCCTGCTGTGGTGAACAGGACCTGGAGAACCATCTGGGCAGACTCCTACTCAGACCAGAAACCTTCACCTTCCAAAGCAGTAAGCAAGACATGCCACCTGCTCTAAGCAGCAATGATTTCAACCCAGCTGTCCGAGCACAGCCTGCTTTGCCCTTTACAACCCTCATCTTTCCCTCCCTTGCAGCTCCTGTCCTTAGTGCAGGTACTCACAATCTCAATGCAACAATGAGCAAAATAACCCCACTGGCAGCCACAGAAAAGATGCAGTCCCTCTCTACCTCTCCTGGAAGACAAGCAGGATTAAAATCCTCCTTGCTCTGGTCTCCTGCATAGTAGAGTTACATAGTTAGAAAATGTAGAGTTAAGTAGAAATGACAGTAGCAGGAATAGAAATGACTGCTTTTTTTTTTCCCAGGGCCCTGTCTACACTTGACTTAGAACTACTTTAAAGGATGTGACTATAGCTGTACCTGAATTCATTTACAAACTTTATTTTTCCTGTGCAAACTGGATTTTAGCAATGTTTTGCTATCAGAAATATGTTTGGGTTGTAGTTATAGTGATGTCTCTTTTTTTTTAAATGTCAGCATATCTTAGATGAGAGCAATTAATGACAGAGTTCCACCCATCTAGTCTCCAGCTCAGGCACGCCATTGGCAATGAAAAACTTATTTGGAGAAATGTTTAGTGCCTGAGAAAGTTTCAAAAGTGGCCGAAGATAACGACAACTCTTCTGTTTGGTTTAGAGCCTGCCTAGAAAAAGCACTCTCTCTTTCAGGGAAGGCGCTCCTCCAAAGTGTAGCTGTTATTATGTGAATTACTGACTGTTTGTTAAATACTGCACATAATTAGTGATGTACGAGACACAAACACAGTAACATGTCTTAAGAGAAAGCAAGGCTCAGAAATAAATTTCCCCTTCTATCATTTAATCCAGCCAACATGACTCCTGCTGTGGTCTCTCAGCTTATAGACTTTAAAGGTCTATTGTTACAAAACTTCTAATATAAGCCTTTTATTAGTATTTACATATTTACATTTCTAGCTCCCATTATCTCAGAAAGAGCCAAGAGCAGAAGGGAGGGAAAAGTGTGTTACAGCACAAAACCAGAAACTTAAAGCAATTTCTCTGCTGAGTGCTGGCAACACACAGAATCTATGCATGGGTGACGGGTCTTTGCAAAATCCTCGTTCAAAATGGTTCATCCCTCCAGACTGTAACAACAAAGAGTTAAACGACTTCTCTCCCAAATGACTAACATCGATCCCATCATTCCCCTCGTATACACAAGAAGTGTGGTTTTATAGTTTCTCCTGCCAGCCGTTACCTTATAAATCCCATACAAAGGTAAGATCTTTGTTTTATTTCAATACAAATGTCTCCAGCAAATGTTTACACTACTCTTTTGAAGCTTCCTCAACCCACACCCCACCCTGGCAACTACATAAAAATGCCATTTGCCTTGAATCCCAGATACATACTTACCAAACCATTTGTATACACTCAAATTTCAACAGTATTTGCTACCACAGATTAACTCTTCTTTAATAGGCACATTGTGTGTGCATATATATTGCCTGGCATATATATATATTTATATATATGCACACTTGCACACAGAGACATGGTTTATGAAAGCAGCTACAAAGTCTAATCTTACATAATTCCTAGTACTAACTCCCCAAAATGAAGTATCTTTTCCTCCAATCTTTAAATTTTGAAAGTAGAGAAAATGTTAATTTCCTCACTAATTATACGAAATTTAATGTAAATTAAGAAGGAAATTAATCAAGAACAAAATAATTCTTATACTAGTCAAAACCTGTCCTTAGCATCACTACCAATGTTAAAGAAATATGAATTGCCGCAATACAAATCATTGCTAGAAACTGTGCTGCTCTATAAGCTTGATTTTACCATTGTGCCCACTGGTATCATAGCTCGCTTCAGCCCACAATGTCCTAAAACCTAATCCTGAAAATCACTCAATCATTGAAAACAGCTTATTACTGCATGGGCTATGCCAAAACTCATTAAATAACTGGAAAGGTTCCCAGAGGCTTCAGCACGCTTTGGATTTAAGATCTACATTTCAGTTAAATATAGCAGGACAACAACTGCATGCAAGTATACACAACAAATGTACAGCACGCAACTACTGTACAGCACGCAACTACTGTACACACCAAAAAGCATGTGCCAGCACCTGCCTGAATAACATATCCACCAACATGTTTGTTCCCTGCATGTCTACGCTGTCGTGCTTAGCAGATATCAGTAATTTCTTGATATCACTGCAAAGTAATTTTTGTCTGCTTTAAGGTGACTTTCAATTTAAGGTTAAAAAGTGCTTTCCATAAAAATATACAATTAATATATTGTTTCAGAAGTAACATAATAGAATCATAGAATCATAGACTGGTTTGGGTTGGAAAGGACCTTAAGATCATCTAGTTCCAACCCCCCTGACATGAGCAGGGACACCTCACACCAAACTATGCCGCCTAAGGCTCTGTCCAACATCATCCTAATCATTTTAAATTATCAAAGTGTTAATCAGAGAGAAGATGTATCTCAAAGAGCTGGTATGATTTATGACAAAGATATCCACCTTTGACCAGGAGATTTCTGGGTTTTAATTATCTTTCTTGCAAACTAACTTCTGTCAGCAGTAAGACTGCAAGCAGGCAGATGTAATTTTTATCAAAAATGGAACTAATCTCTCTGTTCAAAAGCCACCACTAGAACTTGGTTAACCAGCCAGACACTGCAGCAAATCTAGAGGGCAACAGCAAGGCAACTAACTACCTTTTGCATATCATGAAAAGACTTTTAAAAGATGGTTAAAAAGTTAGCCAGTTCTTGTTAATTGTTGGTTGTTTCCTCGCCTTTTTTAAAGAACCCTTTTAAAAATACCAGACATAGCATTCGGGTTCAACCAAAGTGAGCCAACAAATCACCTTGCCCATAAATATTACATATTTATACACAGAAGTAAATATGGGAGTGAAACAAAGATGGACTGTACATAAAGCGTTCTTCACTCCTACCTCTGCTTCCTTACTGCACAGTATGTTTATCTGAAAGAAGCATAAGTAAGAGTTGGACATGGCTGTAGACCCTTCCCCTCATTTCCCTGTGTCCTGCTCTGAACCACAAGCCTCATGGTGACCTCTAGACAATGGCCCCAGCAGAAAAGGATGTTGTTCTAGAAAAAGATAAGGATGTGCCAGGCCCAACTCTGCTCTGCCAGAAGGCAAAGGGTCTGCTGTTGTCAACCAGATACAGCAGAGGAAACTAGTAGAGTGGTGTTTCTGACTTTGGTGTTATTCCCTTAGTCCACAGAAAACAATGGTGAGATTATTCCATAGCTCAACAGTGCTGTACAAGATTCCCCCTTCCATTGAATTGTTCTGCCAGGCAACAGTTGGAAGACAAGGGATGAAGCACAGAGAGCTGGAACCAACACCCCAGTTCCCTTCATGTTACTGAGTTAATAAGGAGAGGCTTCTGCCTGTATGCTCTTAATGTCTGTTTCTTTCACATAAGATCCAACCGCAATGCTGCCTTACAAACCCTTAGCAGGCTTGCTGTTAGCAGGCAGATTCTGGCTGTCACACCCACACTGTTATACCCCCATCCTGAAGGGCTTCCAGGAGGAGAGTACTGCACTGCTTGTGTGGGGGAGGAGGAATCTGGCTTTAAATCAGCTGCCCTCCAGGAGGAATAGGAAAGTGAGAAATCTGATGCTCCAGATAAGTCTTCCTAGATGCACGACTTAGTCTCCCAGGAGAGAAAGGGATGTTTGGTTAGGTGATTTTTTGTTAGATGATTTCTGCTTCTTCTGTTTGATTTTTCAAGATCATTCCCCTGTGTACTTCCAATGATCAGTCTCTTTTCTTTCCTTCTTCCCGGGCCAGTAGAGCGCTTCATCACATCACATCTCAGAGGCCCTGGAAAGAACTGCTCTGTGCCGCTTTTGTCTGACTTGGAATGGAAAGGTCTTTGTGCCTGTGAGGTTAAGTTTTAATCTTAAAAATGTGGTTGAAAAGGGAAAACAACACTGAGCAGAAACAATGGAGCCAGTTAGAAGATCATCATTCCAAAAGCTTAAGAGTCTGTAATTAAGCCTTGAAATTCTTCATCTCTCTTGGATGAAGTAATTGCTGGAGAAAAAACAGCCTTCAGTGACATGCCTCCAAGTCCACAGCTTTCAAACAACCGCAAGGGCATCCTATGGGAATACCCAGATTAGACTCTCCAACAGGAGCGAGCATGTGGGTACGTGTATACACGTGTTTGGGGAAGGAAACACTTTAGTGCATGGTGATAAGCTTTCAGGTACAAATTGGTTTATGTTTGACAGCCCAATACCAAAGCATGTTATGAATCCTCTTAATTTTATCAATACATTTGCAGTTCAAATATTTGATAACTAACCCTAAAAATAAATATGCATAAGCCAATTTGCATTTTAATGACTACTTCCTGCAGAAATACATGTGGCTTTCTTAAAATTTCACTCCTGGCATGTTTTAAATCCAGCAACAGTAAGAGAGTCATTATTCCAACATCTCATTCTGTCCTATTTCCAGTGATCACTGCAAGAGTCATGTTCTCAATGTTCTGGCACCCAAGGCAAGAGCAACGTGAATGGTGCAAGATTAGAAAAAATGGCCAATCACAACATCTACCATTAGTGGAAGTCTTGCTCCTAGATCAGCATGGTGTCTTGCTAAGTCTGGCTTGCAGCTGCAAATGTACATGTGTTAAAGAACTGGCAGCCCTCGCAATGGGGATGGTGCCAGTGGGACAAGACAGCCCTACCCCTTAGTGCTTCTGTAAAAGCCGTTGCATTATAGATCCCAAACCTGCATTTGCTTGCATAATGATCACACGCACGTAACAGTCATCTGCTGTGATTGCAGCGGACAACATACCACTGTATTTTGAAATGGAATCACATAATGGGGGAATATGTTTGGCAGTGAGATTGTAATCATTACATGAGTAAATACAGCACCATTAGCAACTGGGACAAGTACAACTCTGTTTACCAAGGCCAGCTTTTGAAAGAGCTAGGCAGTTTTCAGCTATTGTCTTTTCTTTAGTGCTCTCTTCTTTTAAAATGTGCATCAGAGATGAAAATCCCTGTTAGCACAGACCTCAGCACCTTCAGTCAGCAAGTCGGGACAGTGAGTGTTAATGCTACCACTCCGTAGTCAATGCAATCTCCCACAGGACAACTTGCTTGCGCAATGCAATCTCTCTAATGCTCTGTTAGAAATGCAGTGAGGAATCACACATGAAGATGTCCCTGTGTTTGAAAAGATCCTTAGCATTACTTGAACACTGGGCATTTTCTATTCAACATGAAAACAGTATCAAGAGTTTGCTAAGCTCAACAATACTTGTTGTTTATTATTTCTACATCCCCAGGAGTCCTGCATTATCCCCACACATTTTACACAGCCTATTTCCAGGAGCCAACTTCTTATAATTACCGGCAACTTCTAACTTCTCCTACGCTAGTCCATACAGCTGAAACACTCTGCCACTCCTTTGGATAACCTTATCTATAAGAAACTTGCTAAAGTGCTCTTTGGTTTATAAATTCCTGGTTTGTAATTCCACTGTAGCAGTCACATCCCTGAACACAAAACCCTATGTCTGAGGGTACGCAACCACTAAGAGAGACAGGGAGAATGCACCAGTCCTCAAAAATATGTTCATTTCCAATTGCAAGGACAGTCTGTGCAAAATAAAATGTAACGGCACCAACACAAGGGAAGGAGTAGTTTAGCTTACAGAATATTGATCATTGGAGATGTTAATAGTGTAGAAAGGAGGTTGATCATTTAAGAGAAAGAAAACATTCACCTTTTGTTCTACGCTGACTTTGCAAGAAGGAAAAAAACCTTTTACTGTTTCTCAGGCAGGGCATATTTTACATGGAAAAAATCACTAAGAGGTCACAAGCAAGAAACTGCATCATGAGAGCCCCACAGGCTTTCCTCAGAAGTACATCTCTCTTTGTCAGTGACACGGGTGTGAACACAGTATCATCCCACCAGCCATTACATACCCTCTTGCTGTTTACAGATGGCCAGAATCCCTGGGGCCAATGAAAGACCACAGTTCCCCTGGTTTTGCAGAGGCTGAGCTCCCTCACCTCCACCCACCCTTCTTCTTATTTGTTAAAAAGGAGAGAAGTGGAACAGTGGCTAAGGGTGGGTGGTACTTAAATTAGGATGCCATCTGCATGGCTTTTCCTCACCTTTGCCTCCTCATTGACATCCCAAGTAAAGGACACAGCATTGAATGCAATTTCTTCGATATTCCCAATGGTATTAAAACTCTCCTTGTAATCAGCTGTAAGAAAGAACAAACAAACAAAAGACTCACAAAAAAGGTTTGGACTGTCTCTTTTACAATGCATAGTAGATCTTTGCTTTTTCAGCTGGGTTGTCTAATGCATCAAAACTACCTCTTGTATTGTTTGTGTTGAATTATTAATAACCTTAATTGCAAAGACGCAACATACTGCAGCTTGAGTCTTACGCATACACATCACTAGCTAATATTCTTGCAAAATACTGTTTGGTCTGAAAAAGGAATCCGTGACTGTAGTGGGAATGAGTGGGTGCATTCCTTAGCTTGGCTAAGGAATGGCCAAATCTGGAAAACTAACTAAAAGCTATTGAAACATTTAAATGGAGTGTTCAAATCTTGATGTAAATAAACAACATTACAGCAAATCCTAAAGAAGCTTTCTAAAAGGCTAAGAACTATCACTGGAGGAAATGTTCAGTAGTGCACATTTCTTGCTGAGCCATTTCAAGTCTCCCAGGAATTACTGCAGTGGATGCTGGAGTTTTGTTTTTAAAAAATAAAATAAAACAGGAAAAAAAAATATCCCTAATGTGTGTGTGGTACTAAAATAGCAACCAGACATTAAGTATTTTTAAATTGTCTGACTACAAATTCTGCAGCCTCTTCTCACTTCTTTCCAATGGGCTGTTAATATTATCAATGAGCTAAAATTTCAGAAGGAATGCAAAGCAAGAGGCAGGAAGCCCAAATTTCAAAGGTGACCCAATCCTCCCCCAAAAACAGTAAGGGTGAAACACTACATAAAACAACTTCCAGGTTTTTTTTATAATGAGAATGAACAAGCCACCTTTTTCTCTCCCTTTGCCAACCAAACACACTTCCTTCTTTTTGATGACAAGTTAAGAGAAAGACCCAGTTTGCAAGGAGGTAATATCTGCTTGATTAAAGGAACTTTCAGATTGTCCACGCAAATGCATCAACTCTCTCTGGGACATATACATTTCCTAAGAATCCCTTGAGGACTGTAACTGGACTCGGTGCCAGAGGGCTGAGACTATGTCATGCAGCAATCTTGATCTAATGTTTGCCCCAATCTGTGCTTCAGAAGCACGCTGATTCTTAGCTTTGTAATCAGTTATAGAAAGAGGATGTTTTTGTATTCTATAAATACAGAAATTCTATAAACCCAAATGGTTTCAGTATTCATTTTCTTTACCCTTCTAAAAATAAACTGCTGCTCTCCAAAAAAGTGATTACTAGGTAATAACAGTTTTAAATTCATTTATAACAAAACCATTGCTGCAAGGAGAATTATTAAACATTTGAGAGGTGCAATCAGTATACTTTTCTCTCATCATGAAACACAGGCATGCTGCCATGATTTTGGATACAGTAAAAATTCACTGTTCTGACCATAGGAACAACACAATATATTTGGTGATGCAGCAAGTGAACAGAGTTTGAGAGGGCAGCAGGCTTTTCATTCCCATGATGAACTCAAATCTCCTTTCTAACTAAAGCAATTGGCTTCACTATCTAAATACATTGTGGGAATGCAAATAAGAAGAATTAAAAGACACGTAAGTAGTTTAATATGCATGTGCACACATCCACCCACCCCTTAAATTTATGATTCACCAGAGAGTGCCTTGTGCAACTGACTGCTGCATATGAGCGAGCTGTGTAGGTGCACTTTGGAAAGACATGAACAACATGTCTTGTAAAGACACATGTTTTCTTCCCCTAAAAGGCTGTCAGAACCTCACATCTCACCAGCCCTTCCCTTCCCCCAACACATGCCTCCACTTCCTTAATTGACATACACAAATCTCATGGAACATCTATGTGACATGCTGTTTAAAAGCAGAAGTGCATCCTATTCCCTTCGATTTACAGTTATTTAAAGAAGGATCATCAGTTAAGAGGGCATTTACACCCAAGGATATCTAAAAGTCACTGGTGTGACTACATTTTTTCCTCTTCTGCTGTTGTGATTTACCAGAAAATTGGGGTTCTTCCAGATGCAAGAAAACAGCTCTACAGGAATTATTTCCTTTTGTTGGGTAAACTGCATATTAAACAATGGCAAATTGCAATATTAAACACTAATCATTCGCATGCATTACATACCATTGCAGTAGGTTTTGTATTGTGCACATAAATAATACAAACTATCCTGCAAAAGAAATATGGGCAAGAGTCTAGAGCACAAATAACCCCAACCTAAAACCCCCACACCCACTCTTTATGTCCATGTTTGAACCTGTTCCAGTATTTGTCAGATTATGGTACTGATTCTAAATAACCAATATTTGCTGCAATCCAGTATTACATTCTTTATTTGACATTATTTTAAAAGAAAAAAAAAAAAAAAGTAGTAATGCAATGTCACAGCACGACACTGTGGAAAAATCAAGATTATGTAGTGGGGAGGGATTTTTTTAAGCTAAAACCAGTGAAAGTGCCTCCCTCCTCCTTCAGAAAAATCCATAGCAGCACTTAGGCTAAATTCTGGAACCTTTCCTTCTAGCTTATTAAGTGTCAAGTCCTCAGGTTTATTCCTCAAGCACTAAAGACTTTCTTACATGTAAGTACATGCTTATCCTATTAATACCAATGCATCTTCAGACCCAGTACTGCATCTATCTATTCAACCATCCTTCCTCCCAGGAGGCACACCAGCAGCCAGGACACAAAACAAATGAAAGCGGTGACCCCTGCATGTCTGGAGTGAGGGAACAAGTCACTCTATTTCCTCTGATCTCCAGAATATAACTACAGGGCAGAAGGCAGACAGACAACCTATGCCACCAGGGAAAGAAGCACAAACAGAATCTTCACCCCTATCAGAGGGCTGAATAGCTGGACCCTGGAATTAGAACATCCCAAATTCAACTGATTCTCTGCCTGCTAACGACCAAGTCATGCTCTAGATAAAAGGCACATTCATAAACAATTAAAAAGGATTTGCAGATGTCAAACATGCTACAAACATTAAGTTAAAGTAATACTAATGATTATAAACATCTATGGAGCACAGATTTATGGCTATTCAGACAGTTCTGAAGATGCCTAATACATGATTAACCCTTCATATACTCGATAATCAGAGTGAAATCCAAAATAAGAGAGAAGCGGGGCTACCAGCAGATTGACAGACCATGTCCTGAAGATGGAACAAATCTAATACATACTTCTGTCCTTAGTAAGTTTCTCTTACTGCCTGATTAAATGGTATTCCATGGCATATCCAGGCATTTGCTGATCTCCCTCATAGACACCTAATTCTCTCTGTTAACTACACAGGGCTTGGACATTAACTCAGTATTCCTTTACAGGAGCGCTTTAGGGATCTGAATTTTTAATGTAAAGGGAAATCACCATAAAGCCACACAATAATTTAGCTTGGAAGGGACCCCTGGAGCTTATCTGGTTCAACTCCTACCCTATTCCCACTCAAAGCAGGGCCCACTTCAAATTTGGATAAAGTTGCTTAGATTATCTAATAATAAAACAGGAGGGTTTTGCTAAATGCAGCTTGAGACTTGTAAGGGAAATATAGTTGGGAGCCAATCTGCCCTAATAAGCCAAATATCCACAACTGTCCTGGTTTTGGTTGGGATACAGTTAATTTTCTCCCTAATAGCTGATGCAGTGCCATGTTTTGGCTTTAGTCTGAGAACGATGTTGGTAACACACCAGTGTTTAGTTGTTGCTAAGTAATGGTTACTCTGATCAAGGACTTTTCCGTCTCTCATGCTCTGTCAGTGAGGAGGGGCACAAGAAGCCAGGAGGGAGCAGAGACAGGACACCTGACCCAAATTAGCCAAAGGGGTATTCCATACCACAGCACGTCACGCCCAGTATATAAACTGCAGGAAGTCACCCTGAAGGGACCCATCACTGCTCAGGTGAGGCTGGGCATTGTTCAGTGGGTGGTAAGCAATGGTATTGTGCATCACTGCTGTTCTGTTGCATTGAGTTTGGGGTTTTTTTTCCGTTGGTCTGGGGTTTTTGGTTTTATCTCTCTCTCTGTTACCTCCCTTGTTATTAGAAGTATTATATTGTGCTTTAATTATTAAACTGTTCTTATCTCAAGCAATGGGGTTTACCTTTTTTCTGATCCTCCTCCACATCTCACTGGGTGGACAGGGGGGTGGAAGGGAGCAGCAGGAGTGAGTGAGTGAGCAGCTGTGTAGTACTGAGTTGCCAGCTGGGGTTAAACCATGACAACAATGCAGGTCCCAAAGAAAGTGACATGTAGTTCAGAAACACTGTACTTGGTAGGAGCCAAGGCCGTATTTCAGTTGTTCTCAAGAAAAGACTACTAAGCACACATAAGTCTTTCTTCTGAAAATGATGAAGTGAACTCTTACAGTTCTTTTATCTGTCAGGGAGTGCTGTATCACTAATTCTTACTACACCACCTTTAGCTCGTGTTTGCAGTACAAATAAAGACCAACATGCCAGAGCACCTCAAAAGTCAGCACAGACCTATTTCGTCTCAAACTAGTGGAAAGAAAAGTAATTCACTTTAACACAGATAAACACACAGCTCATGCACATCACTTTTGTTGCAGAGCACTACTTTACAGAATTTGTGTCATAAACTGACTTGTTCAGGTAAAGGGACTGAAATGTGTCAGTACACCACAAGTGTAGTGGAGTCAGAGGGTGTTGGCACTGCAGTGGAACAAGCTCCTCAGCACATACTTTCAAAGGTATGAGCATAAGCACTACAAGCTTGTAGGGACTAGCACACAAAAACAGGCAGCCTTCAGAAATATCTGTGACGTGGCCTACTTGCTCTTTTAACATGTCATCGTAAGAGTCATCTGGTCTGGGGTGGAGGTTTTACTGCCTTAACTACCCCAAAGGACAGGGAAAAAAAGAAAAAAACAAAAGCTGGGAAAACAGTTCTGCCAGAACTATAACGATAAGACACAGGGAGGACATTCAGGAAGAGCTGCTTTGAACAAATACACTTGACTTTAAGTAATGCCAGCCTCAGTGGAGGCTGCAGCATTTCAAAGTGGAAAGGCACTGCATGAGTAGAACCACTTAGGGACTGATCACCCTGTTCAATCACCCTGAAGTCTTACAGTGCTCTCTTCAAGTAACCCTGCTTCCCCACCCCCCCACCCCCGCTCCTCTCTGCCCCCTCTCATTCCTGCCATTCAATGGTTTGGTTCCCTCAGGCGGTCAAAACAAGATAGACTTTGTCTGCTTTGGTCTTGCCGACTCCTTTGACTGGAATCTGCTGCAGATGTCTGCATGTGTAAACGCTGCAGATGTCTGCATGTGTAAACTGCATGTGGGAGGGGAGAAGCGCTTGATGTCTAGACACTCCCACAGATTTCAACTTCAGGTTCCTTGGCAGCAGGAACGTGTTCTTCCCTTGGTAAAATCTCCCAAGCATGTGGATAGGGCAGTTGTGGCTGAAATTGGCTTGTAAATACTTTAGATGGAACGAACAGTAAACAGGTGTCTCTGGATAGCACGCCAGAGCTCACTTCTCCCTGACATCGACAGGAACCAAAAACTGGGGGTGCAGGAGCCCTATGTGGTCACCATATTGATGACACCTTCACTCTCAGGCTGCACTTATACATCAGATTAGCTAACATAACTGTTATGTGGGCTGCTGCTGCTACTGGATCAAAGAGTGCACCAGCCTTTGAAAAAATAACGGAAACAAACACTGCCACTCCTGCAGAGGCGCAAATCTTGACTTCCCAGCAACAGAAGATGGAATATCACTAAATATGCATGTAAGAGGCAGCTCTTCTTTGTGACTATAGAGGACGATTCCTTCTGCATGGCCTGCGTTCTGCTTCATAGAGCCCATAGCCTAGTCCTAGAAGGGATGAGCCACTGCTGAAAACTGTGGTACAAGCCTTGCTGCCATTGCCAATATATCCCACTACATCCCAGTGTAAGGTACCAGAGCTTCCCACATCCTGCAATCTTCCCTGAAACACCTGGAGATCCTCTTATACTCACCAATGTCGAGGACCCTCTGTTTAGCTGTGTGCTGCCGAGAATGCCAGTATTTCCAGTATTTCAGCTGTTCATCCCTGTTTTTATCCTCACTGAAAACAACCATGACCACGCTCTAAGAAAAGCAACACCAGAAGTTGCATTAATTAATATAATTAACAGTCAGATACACAAATATTAAAATCTCTGATATGCCTCTAATGTTGATCCAGTCAGCACCCTCTCTCAGCATTTTGGTTGCAGAAGATTGCTGGGTTTTATTCCAGTCCAATATTGCAATGCACTTAAAGACTCAGGGCAGAAGAAATGTAGTTTCAAAATAACGCAGGGCCTAGGATTATGGTTTTGATAGCCCAAATAGAATTTAACTGCATTCTTTGATTTCAGGAGTCTAAGTTCCCTTAACTAAAAAGTGGCCACTTCAAAGTCAGAGGATTCCCCAATTCTAGTTCTGATCCAAGTCCGGTCCAAGTTTTGGAGTTCAGATTCCTTGTCACTCTGGAAGATGACATTACACTGTAAAGGAATGTGTTCTTACAGAGTTTAGGCTCACTGGGTAAAGGTATTACATTTTCAAGTCCAGCATATACAGTCCAAATACCCTTTCTGGAGCATACATGCATTTAATGACAAAATCAGTGCGACTACTGAGCTTTGCTGAGCTTTTTGTCAGTTCAAGATCTGTATGCCCTTTGTTAAACTGTGTGATTCAAAGGAAATAAATTGAAACTTCGAACAAAACTTCACATGAGTAATAAAGGCTTTTTTAAAAAGCCCTGTTGCAGGCAATCAAAACAAAAAAAAAAAACCAAAACGGTGAAAGGATGGTCATACTAGGTAAAATGAAGAGAAATCACAAAGAAAAGAAATTTAAATACTTTTAAATATCCGCTTTTGTTTCCATTTTTCCTTTAACCCTGAGTCACTAAGCTCATAAAAAACATCATCAAGCTGTTTCATAAGCCAAGGAGCTGGATCACAATTGATTCATGATTTATGACCCTCCACATAATCACCACCGTAACTCTTCACATGCTCTGTGACCTTCCCCGTTCCACCTGTAAAAGCTGAACGTCATCACTGCATCTCCCATGTGTAGCTACTGTGTGGGCATATGCATGGGTAAGTCCCGAGTTAAGCACGTGCGTACTGGTTGGCCATCAGGTATGTGCTGGCTGGCCAGCTGATGCACTAACCAGAAGTGACGGTACAGACTGTAGCTCTTCCACCAAGAAGACAATCTTTCTCCTCTACAAAACACTTCTTTGGAACTTACAGAGGTTTAATACCTTCAGAACCTCATTCACCTATCAGGTTTGTATGGAATTGGCAATAAATTCAACAGTTGCTTGGCTGGGAGCCTGGCAAACAGAACGTGATCATGGAAGTATGAAAGTTGCATGTGGTTTAAAATCTTCTGTAAACTTTACATCCTCTAAAATAAATGGTCTCATCTCTCCTTCACAATTTACACGTCTGCTACCACAGCTTCAAAACTCGTGTGGCTGTGCGATGAACAAGACTTATGAGGACTGATTTTCAGCTAGATCAGTAAGCTCCTGACTCCTGTTGTAGCTGTACAAGTACCAGAGCTGGTACCACAAAGCGGGAAGGAACAAGTGGCCGGCAGGGAGAGAGACTTTCCAGCAGCAGAGGAGTCTTACATCAGCTTCAGCCAACAACAAAACACCATCACCAACCTCGTGTCCTTAGGAAACCAGGGTAAAAATTAACTGCTATTCAGGTTTACAAATCATCTTCTCTCTTTAGGAAGTAATTTTAAACTTCTTATATGATAGAAACATAGATTGTTGTCTGCTTCACTGCTCACATCAACTTTCATTGGTTTCTTCAACTAAAGTCACAATATCTTGATGGTACTCCATTTATTTGGATGGAAACACTTTTGCAGCCTCATATATATGCAGCCCTTCCAGCTTCAGGCTGAAATTTGCAGGGCAGCAGCTCTGAAGCTCATTGTTCATTCCAAGGTAACTCGGTTAGGATTTGCTTATTCGAAAACATTACCAGGGAAATCAGAAGGCCTGTCCCCAGGCAGATGTTGCTGAGTACTCGAGCTGCAGTTCTACCTGTGGAATCTAAGATGCAAATAACCCATTTTGTCATACTTCTGGGTGAATATCAAGTGAAAGTTCGTATTTATGCTGTGTAAATGATTTCAAAGTTATGTCACAAAGGATGGCTTCAATTCTTCACATCTCAGCTGAAAAGCAGCTGTTGAAGTGCACAAGTGAGTGAAGATGCACTTACACAGTAGATGCAGCAGTTCTCTGATTTTTTTCTTTAATCACAGCAATGGTATATTCACTAATGTCAAGTGCAGTATCTGTGCAATTACCATTCTGCCAAACCATAATCTGAGGCAGATATGTATATGATTAACTTGTAAAATCACACTTTGAAAAAACAGACCCCAAGATATTTGAGAACATTGTCAGTATTACTCTCTCACCCTGCACTAGGCATAACAGTAAGTTTGATTTGTCCTCTCCCACAAGAAAAAAAATAGTAATTAAAAGCCAACCAACCACAACTGCATTTATCTGCAGAACTCCATTCCCACCTAGGAAAGAAATGGAACTATACCCTGACTTTGCTGATGGGATGCCGGAAACATTTGTTGTCACCCGTCTCGCTCAGTGTGATGGCATAGAATTGTCCTTTGTTCAAGTAGGTCATGGGCCCCTCCCCTTGCTTCTGACGCAGAGATTTGGTAGCTTCTAGTGTATACTGAAAAGTGCTGCTGAAAAGACAGGGAGAGAAACACCAACAAAATCCACATCACTTTCTCTTTTTCTATTTGCTTCCATTTATTACTTATTTCATGCATTGTATAAGCAAGGCAGAAGAAGCTAATAATAAAATTGCAGAAAAAGGTTACACATGTATTGAAAAAAACAATTTTCTTTTTCCAAGTCCATCATATCTGGCAATCAAGCCTAAAACTATCTGGACTGTAAGTCTCTTGGATCAAACACTACATCTTTTCTTTGAAAAGAATTATGAAGTACGAGACTGCATACCCACAGTGAGAATGTCAAATACTGGGAGGGGATTTAGTATGATTTGCAGGAAATCAGCTACTTCCACAGACATTTAAACTTAGCAGCATCACAAAAAGGGAAACAACAAATAAACAAACAAACAAACAAAACACGTCCCCCCAAAAAAACCAAAATATGGACATCGAGAATGGAAAGTCCAACTGTTACTTTCAGCACAGTGCAGAGAAGGACTACAACCAGAAGGTTTATTTGTTTAAAGAGAACATGCAATCAAGGTTTTTACAAGCGGTCTTTTCAAAATCAATCAGACAGAACAAAGTACCTGCATTTAGTTGTATCTGCAATCAAGTAACCCTCCTTTAGAAAAAGACAAAAATTAGAGAAGAGTTTGCTCTTGTGGTAGAAGTCAGATTTTAGAAGACACTCCTTCAAAGGAGAACTTTCTATGTTTAAATCAGCTCTCAAACCATGAAAAGTTAAAGCTCCATTAACTGTAAGCTGAACACAGTTCTCGCAGAGCCTCTTCCAGATGCTTTCTCCAACAATGGGCTTGAACAATAATCCAATAAAAACGATGCCTGCAGCTTCTCACATTTTCTTAAATGAGAAATAATGTTAACCTTGCAGAATAAATCCCTTCAGACTGCATTTGGTCACCACAGGAAGCTTAACGCAAGGAGTCATTTGCAGGATGCCCTCACGAATTGGAGGTACGGGGGAAACATTTTCACAAAGGTCCTAATTCAGCAAAAAGTGTTTAAGCAGTACTGGAGGAAAACCAAAAGGACGAATATCCTGGTCTAAACCAACAGTGTATGCTTAACTTTCTAGTTCAAGCAAATATCCTGGATCACCATAACACTGCCATAGCAATATGGAAATAAGGGGAAGAAACACATCTTTAATTATCCCATAGAAGAAAAAAAACCCCACTAAAATGCATGAATAACAATATTTAAATCCCCACTGAAGGGAACATAGAAGAAAAAAAATGTGATCCACTGTAAGAAGTTTCAGACAGTTTAGTATCAAATATTTATTTTACTATCTTTCAATCAAATGAAGACAATTTCTAAGTGTTTCTCAGCTTATATATGGAAATCCAGTCATTTTTCTAATTGCTTAAAAGTTACAAATCAAAATAAAACTAAGGCAAAAACCAAACACTAACTTATATCTATCCAACCCACTGACAGCAGTACCAGCACTTCCCAGCAATGCAGTTGCTGCTGACACAAAAGGTTTTGCACACACTGTGAAGGCAGCATGAAGGGGACTGCACTCCCCTCCACTGCCACCCACCATGGTGTGTGCTGCTGCAGTCCCTCTTGCCTGTGTGCAAGGGGAACACAGGCTCTGCCGACACTGGCAAGCAGTACATCCCCATCCAAGCAGACTGGAAGAGCAGAACCACTGGTACAGTGGACCCAGCATCCATCCTGCTGCATATGCTTGTCCTGCAGATTGACCTCCCCTTAGCATTGGGGTCACATCCTCAGATCTAGTGTCATGCAAAGGGGCTGCAGGTTGCGTGCAACAAGACTATTGCATGACACCTACCAAACATGCTGAGTGCCATGGGAGATGCACCTCAAAACTGCCTAACAAGGATGTGTACTGAGAAGGGCTTCAGATGAACTAAAGGCAGACGCACAGTGTCTTAAAAGAGCTGCCTACAGTCTGCCACAGTCTGGTCTTCTGTTTCCTGGCACTCTGTTTCAGAAAGACGTCAAAAACTGGAAGTCCCAGACACGCCACACCTGGCCGATTTTGCAGTCTCTGTGTGGTAATACGTGAGAACTTTCTTCTTGTTCCCATCCGGCAGTCAAAGTGTGCTCTATAGCAGGAGGATTACTCTTACCCCTAAAACTTACTGCACTCGCTCAAATGATTATAATACTATTCTGATTCTCATCACAAGTCCCCTGCAGTCATTAAAGGACCTTCTACCAGGCTTCCAATCACTTCCATGTTCACCACTTCTTTCTTTCAGCCTGAAGTTTTCATTCTAGAGCACCTATCACTTCCAGGTAGTTCCCAGGAAAGATGTATTTTGGTTTTGCAAATAAGCATTTGGATATTTCATTCTAATGTGGACCTGGGCCTTAGCATGAAAGACTTAATGTCTGAGAACTGTTAACAATACCAATGCTTCAGGATTCAATTTTATAAATATCCAATATAGTAAGTGAACAGTCTTTGCTAAGTATCTGTTTCATATGTACTGCCTATATTATGACTCAGTTCTGAGCTCACTGCAGTTAATGATTGTTTTAATATTCCTCAGGAAAAAGATCAAGCTGTAAGGAACCGCCACTACAGCAGCAGTCATATGCCTAGTCTAGGAAAAATATGTAGCACCTGTTGCTAGAGTGAAAGCAAACTCTCAGATATCAACAGAACAGTTCACAAACATAAAATGAAGCATCAGCGTGTAAACTTTACTAATCACAGTCTTTGTTAGTTAAAGTGACTCTGCAGTGTTTGCCCATTCTATGCATGCATTTTTCTGTGCTTGGGGAGGACACTAATCTTTTCAAACTTCAATTTTTGAAACTTTGTAAAAAACTTCTGGAATTCTTAGGGTGTTTGACATGCAATACAATAGATGCTTCATTTGTTTTATAGGTAAACATGAAGTAGTATAACAAGCAGCGTAAAATGTCAGAGGGTTTCCCAGAGAACCTACTAGGAGTAACTAGAAAAAACAGAAGGGAAAAACAAAGATGGGAATTCCTTAAGGTTGTTGGAGGCAGAGCAACCATCCTGGACATCTAAATTGTCCATCCTACCATCCTTAAAGGTGGGGAAGATTTTCCATGACCTGGCTGTCAAAGTCCTGTTACCTGGGGACCTCTCTTAACAGTTTTAATCTCCATATCTCCAGGGAGCTTCAGAAGAGTTACAAACTTAAAACAGTGCTGAGGGAAGATAATAGATGAAGATACAAACCAGTCAGATATAAAAGCTAACATGCACAGAAGAAGAAGGGGAGAGTCAAGGGAGCCCTGCAGGTGCCCCACTGTGATGAAAGAGGGTGGGAAGTGGATACAGGCAGCCTCTCCTCAATACATTCCCACATTATGCCAGTCAACACATTTCAAAGCTTATGCCATACCTTGTTTGTTCATAAATATATTCTTCTGCCCCCACTGACACACTGCGATACTTCTGAAAAATAAAAACAACAATTGAATATAGTTTGATACAATCAAAATGCAAATGCCACTGAAAGTAGAATTACATTTGTTTAAGGACCCCTCAGAAGAAACTATCAACCATTAAAACTTAAAATCCCCCAAAACTGGAGTGAACCCTACATGGTGCTTACACTAGAAACTGATAATTCATTTATGTCAAATTTTTAGAGTTTTTCTTAAACTGCTACAAGTTCTTCTAACTGTTACAAGAACATAGCTGAAAAACATCTTCTGACTTATGAAACTGTTTGCCTTCACATATTCTAAAACAAGCCAGTAAAAATGTACCAAGTCTCAAAGATCAGATTTTCAAATGAAATCAGTTTTCCTAGAGACTTAATTTTTTGTTTTATTTTGCTTTATTTAAAAACATGTGTGTGGTCAGCTGTCACTAAGACCTACAACGAAATGCTTACAAAAATTCATATTGCTATGCTGTCTTTTTTGAATAGGAGTGGTAACACAGGCTAGGAAAGGATTTTACCTTTAATATAACAATAAAGTATTTTACCTTCAAGACCAGATTGGACAGGGCTTTGAGCAACCTAGTCTAGAGGAAGGTATCCCTGCCCATGGCAGGGGCATTAGAACTAGAAGATGTTTAAGGTCCCTTTAAACCCAAACCATTCTGTGATTCTTTAAGATTCTATGTGAGCGAAATGCAGGCTTTACAGATGAAAGGAGACCTACAGTCACTCTTTACAAAACTAGAACACATCAAAAAAAATTACATTAAGGTAGAATTCTGAAAAAAAAAAAAAAAAAATACCACCCCACATATTTTTGCACAGACTAAGCAAGAATTTGTACTCTGTCTTCCTGAGCAAATGAGTCCGTTCATATTCTATTATGTAAGCATTGCTGCTGCTTCTTTTTGGTTTGCCTGTTGGCCAAAACATGTTTTTGCTGATGTGTCTGATTCACTGATGGATCATTACATTTAATCTCCATAACTTATTTTGTGATCACCAGGTTAGCAATTAAAAGCTGTTTTGTTTCCAGAATTGTCAAGTCAGGCAATTTTGAAAACAGTTTTTACCTTATGCACAACTGTGCCACAACAAATATCCAGTCAGATACTCATTGAGTGCAAAGGTATTATGTACTGATTAGGAAGATTTCCATAAGATCAGAAGTCAGGGATCCATGAGCAGCCGAATAGATAAACTAAATACTCTAAGAAATCTCACATCTGAGGGGTATTACAATAAAGATGGTCCCATATTAATATGCTAGTCATCGCATTTTATATGAAGGCTAGAGGTTGACATTGTCAAAAACATTCAATTTACTTACCTATCCTTGAAAATTTTGTCTATACTATAAAGAACTAGTAAGTTAATCACAGCTAAATATGAATATGAAAAATGTGAAAGGTATATTTATATAATTGTTAAAATTGTATCTGAAGAATCTAGCAAGCGATTGACCGAAACTCAGCACTCTTCAGTATAACAGAACTAAGTCACCCAATAAAAATTTTGAAACTATTTCTAAATACATATTCATAATATGTTTAAACACTGAACAAGTATCAGAGCAAATGTACTGCAGCCAATCTCACCAAGCGAATAGGAAAACTAGTAAAAACAATTCTATTCCTACTTTAAACACTAACTTAGTACAAATTTCACTTTTGGTACGTTTTAACATTTTGCCTTACACTTTCCCTGCACCTTCATACAGCTGTCCCTGCACAATGGCACAGGGCTGGAAAAGCAGTCACAGCACTCAAGGGCTAAGTGGAGTTTGGGATGCAAGGCCAACGTATGGATCTAAATTCCCTTTTTAACTCCAAGTTAAACAACTTTGCATATTTGATAGCACTTTGCAGCGTGTCCCAAAACAAACAACATAATGGAATCACTCAGCTACAGCACCCCAGGGGAAAGCCACAGGTATGGTAACACCAGAGTCACATAAAAAGCCATTTACCAGTAACAATAAAAAAATAGCTGAAATTATGTGATTTGGAAATTCAGAACAGTGTTTCTAATCCAAGGTTTGATCTTACTGATTTCTCAATGGCAGGCTAGATTTCCCCATTAATTATTCATGTAGTTGACCTAGATGACCTCACTTGGGAGTATTGTGTACAGTTCTTGTGTCCTCAACATAAAAAGGACATGGAGCTGTTGGAGCAAGTCCAGAGGAGGGCCACAAGGACTATAAGAGGGCTGGAGCACCTCCCGTATGAAGACAGGCTGACAAAGTTGGGGTTGTTCAGCCTGGAGAAGAGAAGACTGCGTGGAGACCTCAGAGCAGCCTTCCAGTATCTGAAGGGGGCCTGTTAAGGATGCTGGGGAGGGACTCTTCATTAGGGACTGTAGTGGTACGACAAGGAGTAACGGGTTTAAACTTAAAGAGGGGAAGTTTAGATTGGATATAAGGAAGAAGTTCTTCACAGTGAGGGTGGTGAGGCACTGGAATGGGTTGCCCAAGGAAGTTGTGAATGCTCCAACCATGGTGGTGTTCAAGGCCAGGTTGGACAGTGCCTCGGGCGACAGGGTTTAGTGCGAGGTGTCCCTGCTCATGGCAGGGGGGTTGGAACTAGATGATCTTAAGGTCCTTTCCAACCCAAACCATCCTATGATTCTATGATTCTGTGTATTCTATATCTTAAAATGGATTTCACCTCCTGATCCATTATGCTTGCATAGAGACAATTTACTTATAATACACACAGAAACAGTAAATGCCTTATATATTCAGTCAGACTAACTCAGCCCTAATGTAGTTTGCCTTGTACTTTTGTGACATTTTCACTTTCCTAAGAGTTAGAGGAGAAAACTCCAAGGATATCTTTACCCCCTAATAGCTCTCATTATTTGCAGAGGTACTGTCCGCTTTAAATTATTTTTACCTTTCTACATTTCTGGCTTGTTTGCATTATTCTGCAGCAGGGAAAAGCAAACAGAACGTACTCACCATATTAAAGCTGACTGTGTAACTAGTCTGCCTCAGCATAACTGTAGAATAGTTACAAGGTTGCCCCTTATCTCTCTTCTCATTCCCCTACATATACACCCACAGAAGGCTTTCCCTGACTGTTAATTTCTCCATTCCCCTCTAGTCACCTAATTCTACTACTTTTTCTCACCTACCCATGTTGCAGAGTTAAAGCTTAGTGCAACAGACAGCTTCTGATTAAATTACTTGGGTTTATCTAGCAGCAGAAACTCATTTCCACTTTCAGAAGAACATTAAGAACTTCCCAGTCACAAAGTGGCTGCTATTTCTTACTGTTATGAATAGCTTTGAAGGCAGATCTTATTAACAGAAAACAAATCATCTTTCAGAATGGCAACTATCCTCTACCTGGGACAATACCCCAGAAGACAAAAGATCAGTATCTATTATTCGCGGAGTTTCCAATAAATAAGTTTAAAACTGACTTCTGAAATGCCTCATGATGCTCCCTGACAATCAGAGCACAGACTGACAGGAATATGACACAGGAGCTGAATTTGTTGAAACAAGCATCTCTGTTGTTCTAATGGCTCTTGTGGACAGCTCAAATCACCTTATCTTGTTTACAGCTTTTTATTGAGTTCTTGGATGCTAATTTGAGGTGAAAAACTTACTTCTGTTCCTCCATCTTTGAAGGTGTCACTGTACGTACTATCAGGAGTACTGCGCTGGTCATCTTTGAGATAATTTGTGTGTGGAGCAATGTTGGACACTTCATATGGTTCAAAGATTACACCTCGGTGCTCCTCATTTTCTCCTCTTGCATAGTGTGCTTGTGGGGTCATGAAAACAGGGGTGAACTCCTCTGCTTTAACCACAGTCACTCCAGTCCCAGTGATGGGTGTTGAACTCCCAGACACGTTTGTGTTGTATTCCCTTTTGGATGACTCCAAAGGATCTTGGTTCAAAGAAAGGTTAACCGGCACCGTCTTCAGGACTTGCACACGATTCTCTCCCCCACTTAAATTACTCTGAGCTTCTGTGGTGTTAAGACAATTTCTGTGAGACAAAACCAAAAAATGTTATGAAGAGTTCTGATAAGAGCAACCTCCTCCTTAAATAGCTTAATGTTTTTAGATGGCAGGGAAGGAGATCTTTCAATTCTGACAAGCCACTGCCGTAAGAAGTAGAACACTAACAAATACTAGGCAAAAGACATTGTGAGGCAAGCAGAGAGATCCAGAGCTCTTTAACAGCTAAAGAAAGATAATGCATTTGATTTGACCTATAATCAGTATGACCTGTTACAATAAATTCTGGATATCCAGCGTTGCTTCTGCCTTGACTTATAATCTGGATGCAAAATCAAACCACCAGTTAAACAGCCTCTGGGCATAAAATAAGCATAAAGAGTAAGGTGAGGTATGGATTACCCACAGTAGGTAATTTGCATGTGAAATAGGCAGAATATCAACAGCAAAATTTGTATGCGGATGCATGCGCTTTCGGGCTGTTGACAGGCCACTGCTGTTTGTGTAACTCTGGTACCAACGCTCTTCTGTAAGAGCAAGCCCAGGAATCCCATTGTATCAGAGTAGATCAGTAACTACAACGGCTGCAAGGTAACATCCAGCTGCATTCCCCCATCTACCCATGGGTGGTGTTGAAAGCAATCTGATTGCTGATAGTAGTTGCGCTGACATAAAATTGTTAACTCATAAAACTTTTAGTAGGTGTAACACACTGCTTTTTTTTCAACCCAGGAAATACATTCTGACATTACAGTTCTCTCTTGGCTTTCCAGTGAAGGCCAGTTTTGTCAATCATACTCAATTTAGGAATTTCTCTGGTGTTTACAGAAGAAAAACTGTCCCTCCAAAAGAGTTTCATCTTCTGTTTTGAAACTGTGAATTTATACTACTAGCTATTTAGACTTCCACCTCACACAGCCAGTGGAGTCTATCTAAGATTGTCCCAAATTAGCTATCTTATGTAACTTCTCTCCACCATTATTTTAAATGAAGATACCTTCGTATATATAAAAACTTCATTCTTTCTACACAAATATACACTCTCTCTTGTCCACAAGTCTTAATAAAGGCAGGAGTCATCTTCCTCTGACTCTTCAAGTCACTTTTAGCCTGAGCTAAAAAGGCTGAAATCTGAGAGGAATAAGAAAATCATTTTGAGCAAATGATTTTAAAGAGTAAGTTTATTTGCTTCTGGGCAGACCCTAAGTTACGTTAAATAAAACTGTATAAATCAGGTTACTGAGGCCAAACTATGCACTTTTTGCTCTAGAAGAAAATTGAAAGAAAAGCAGCCAATAGCCAACTGTCAGTATAATCTGATTTTACTAATCTCAGCAGCAGCAAAACAAAATACAAACAAATCATGAAACTTTCTGCTACTTCACAAATTGCATGTTTAATAATAATTTTCGAGTTTTCTAATAAATTAAAAGTAAAAAGGAGGAAAGTTTGCTTCCCGAAACAGTCTTCATTCTTTTCTCTTCTGAAAGAAACCCAAACCCCTCAGGTTATCATAGCTCCTTTAGTTCATAACTGATCAACACTGTTAGTAGCTGGGTGTATGATTTTGAATAATACTGTACCTTTTATCTTGGTCTTCTTGATTATCACTCACTTTGTTAACAGACAACAGCCTTTTATCTCTGGGAACCTGAGAACAACACCAGGCATGGGGTCAGGTAAACACAACTGTCAGGTATTTGCAGCTTCAGACTGCTCTACTGCAACAACTAGAAGAATGTAACCACATCAGTGTTGTCTAGTTCACAGGTGCTAGGAGCTGTTTTCCTTTGGGAGGCTAATTGTGAACAGAAAGAAAAATTCCAAAGGGAAAAAAGTGTAGGTATTGTTTTCTTTTCTAGTTCTTCTAGACACACCAGTCTGGACCAAAGCGCTCTTCTCTATGACCTTATCTTTGCAGTATCAAGCTAGGCCAGGCTATCTCAAAATCAAATATTATATTCCCCAACACACACACACACACACACACACTTTTCAATGAATAGTAAAAGATGAGAAGGAATACGTGATGCTTTGATGCGCTCTGCATGGAGACCCTTTTAGCTCAGAGGAACAAGGGTTTTCGACTAAACCACAAGCACCAGCAAAGTCCTCCTGTTATAGAGCAGTCTGGAGGGTGCAGGACTTGTACCCAGGGGAAGTTTGTGAATCCTTCGCTTTCCCAGCATGCAGACAGGTCAGGGCATGTTGACATGTCATCAGAGAACACTTAATTCTGCTTTGCTGAGTACATCAACAGTCACGAGTATTAAAAACCCAGTAAAATCTGGCCCCTCAAAATTGACACCAAGCAACTTAAAAGATTTGTCTTCCCACATACCAGTTTCCTGACACCAGCATAGATATGAAATCACCTAGGGCAAAGCTGCTGCCATGACCATATTGTTTTCTTGCTGAACCAGCAATCTGGGAGCTAAAACTTCTATCTTTTACAAAGAACATGTATCAACTCTGTCACAGCAGTTAAGCCCAGATTAAAGGGCAAGAATAGATCTAAGAATGAGCTAAAGTTGTGCTTTTTATCTTTAAATACTACTAGGAAATATCAGGAAAATACCTGAATTTAGAGGAAAACTTCAGTGCACTACAGTAGCCAAGGTTAATAGCAGCTGTGTCTGCAGGACAGCAGCAGAGTCAGAGTGTTAGTCAGAGCCTTTCCTTCTTTTGGGACATCCTCTCTCCCTATTAAGCATCCTGCTGGTTAAAAAAACTCTTTCATATATTTCAGAAGTGAGATCCAAGCCACATTTTGCACATGTTGGTTCCCTTGTTAAGATCATATATTTGTCCCTGAAGGAGGGTCTGTGTTTAGGGAACTATTACTACAAGAAAAAGAAGTAGGAAAAATAATTAAAAAAAAAAATAAAATTAAAAAAATGTAAAAAACCCAAACAGTTACATTCAAATAATTCCTACTGACTGGAATAAGTACTTCAAAAAAATTACCCAGCATGCCAGAACAAATGAGCCAGATGATAAATAAGGGCAATTCAAGAGAATCTGGTGTACTGGAAGTTCTCCTCTACATTTTCACATTACAGCACAGAGGTTTAAATTAGGTTTAAAGTTCCTGTTTGAGAGTATCAACACAAGTTAACCTTTTCTCCCAGTTTAAGACAGAAATAGTTATATTGAATGCTGGAAATGGCTTTGAGATTAACACAGCTCATTCTATCTGAACCCCAAGTCTTTTGCAACTGCCTGGAACAAGGAACAGTCATGTCTTTTTAGAACATAGTTTCGAGAACGAAAAGGGCTGTTCTCTGTTTTTTTTTTAAATCCAGCAGATTAATGAACTGCTAAATACAAAGGCATTACTAAGACAGAAGCCAACACTCCAGATGCTCATACACATCCTGAATATTACAAATCCACATTAACTTCACAGACTCTGGCACTGTGGCAACTCCGTCAAGCAGAGGAAAAAAAACAAAAACTTTCTTCTTTCTCACTGGGAAAAGTTTTTCTCTACCGACAACACACAAAAGCAAGAAACATCCCTAGAAATATAATCAGTAAAGAAATTAAAGCAATATTTAACTATAGGGCTGGTATATGGCATCTTGCCTACACCCTCTTCTCCTGACTACACATTTAATGATCGCAGCAGAGACTAGAAGTATTTATACTAATAAATACTGAAAGAAAAGGCTTTTATTTTTAAATTTGCACTCCTGCTGCTTCTTCCTGAATTATGAGGGGAGCTGGCATTGTTCTGCTGGCTTTCACAGAAGATTGTGTCCCCAGTGCAGGCATAGGTGGCTTCAGGAATACTGAGACAGTTCAACAATTTCATACTTTAGTGTTTGGTAGGCAACACTGATTCCACTTGCAGAGTACAAAGGGGTCAGCCTAGGTTTCAGAGAGAGATTTCTGCATTACACAGAGATCCTCTCTGTAGTATTTTCCTCTGATTTCAGCAGAAATCTCAAACATAGCTCTACTTAAACACTATGAAATACACAAAAAGGAAAGGTGGTATCAAAATGGTAGGTGAAGCCCTGGGCTTAGAAGCTGGTATAAACTGAAACTGTGTGTCAGTGCTTCCCCCTGTAAAATGACTTGGATTGTGTCCAGCTCTATTTCTGTCCTCTACCTTTCTATTTAGACTGCAAAGTTCTAGCACAAGGGCTAGACCTCACTGTATGTTTGTACACAGCCTACTGCAATCATTATACAAATAAAAATAACATGGGAAACTGTCAGATGAGAGATACTGCAGTTAAAGACCAAACTAAAACATGTGTGGAATGAACCAGAAAAGCTGACAAACCTACAGATGGACAAGGCCTCCCCTTTTCCACTTTTTAAAGAATACTGCATGTATCCAAGCTCAAATAAAAAGGGGGCTAATTCATCCAATCCTTTTAGAAGGGAAGAGGAAAAATGTTATGCTCAAAAAGAAATCATGGTTACAAATTTAATATGGACTTCTGATTTTGTTTTTTCTCTCCAGAACTAAACACGTAACAGCCTCAGACAGGCTCCCTAAAACAGAAAGGGTGCTTGATGTAAGTATCAGAGAAAAAAACAAGATGCAGTGACTTCTGCTTTTAAAAAGAGGCTCTTTTGATGCCTCTTAGAGAAGTTCCCTGGTTGTGCAGCAGGGAGGAGTAACAATGGAGTTACCTACTTTATAATAGTCATACAATAGGCCAAGAGCAGCAGCACTGTCCTCATCACCATTTATGCTCATCATAGCCTTGGTGGCTGCTGTTAGGGGATTCTCCAAATACGACTTCCAGGCTTCATCTTCGCTGGTGTAGGCTCGTCTGGTGTTGAATGAAGTGTCATTTGGCACTAAGGCCACAAGTCGCTTGTTACTGCATAGACAGGAAGAATAAAATGGTGATCCAGAAGGGATTACTTTATTATCAAGGCATGTTAAAGAATATCATATAGCTCAATGAAAGTGATAGGATTACATCAAGCAAGTATCTCTGCATTAAATTTGGTGACACAAATATTTATCAGTATTATGTTTCTTCAGTACTTAAGAAAAAAGTTAAAGGTGTGCAGATCTTGTGATAACAATTCAAATGTATTTTTACTAATATATGGATAAAGCAATGAAAATATTTTAAAAATATCTGGAAAAAAAAGGAAGTAACAATATAAGAACATTTTGCCCCATTATTTTTGTTAGATGTACACTTGATTAAGGAAAAATACATTTTAGTGAAATCAGTTATAATAAGACATGAAAATAAAAGTATCTAATACTAACCCTGTGTTAACCTAAATAAAGTATAATTCATTATTTAATAACTGGGTACATCTTGTAATTGAGCTATTCTCTGCCTTTGGAATGCAATTTGTCCCTAATTTCAGAGAGGTTTTCTGTAATGGGACATGAGTAATGGGTCCAGTGGATGGAGCAGAAGCCAACATACTTTATATCAGTTCACACTTTATCACTCACCACATCTAGTTAAAGACCCCTGGCAATACACACAAGATCATTAGTAAGTGGGACTTGCAGCAGAGCAGTATCCTTCAGCCTGAATGTGGTACTAACTGACCAGGACCTGAGTATATCATGAGAGAAGCTGCTGCACCACAGCTATGGCTGAAATCTACAGTATAATGGAAGCATAAAGAAAGATAACAGTACCTCCTTTTGTAAAATGTTCAATAAACTTATGGACAAAAGAGTTATACACACACAAAAAAGTTGCATTCCTATTACACAAGACAGTAGGCAAACAGATTAGACAGATTAGGCAGGGTAACAGTGGAGCAAGGGAGTATGTTGCAAGAGCACTGTCAAGAACTGTGGCTCGAGTTACAAGGATCACTTTTAACACATTACACCTTACAACGTATTTGAAAGCTGCAAAGATGGCAGAATACCTGAATATACTGACTTAACTGGCAAAACGAGCAGTTATTCCTGGTGACCTTCATAAAACACTGCTTGCTGTCTTCCACATAAAAACTGTTCATTATTCAGCCTCCTCTTTTTGCCCTCCCGTACCTGCAGCAGCACCAGCTCCACAGCGAATGGCTGCTGTTGCACAGAGAGTGGCATTCAAACACTGCCCAACCGAGCTTTTTATTTGATTTCAGAAATAGGACTTGATAAAAACACAACTGAACACACACAGTAAATGCTCTTGGATGTGATGAGCGTGTCTTGCCTGGCTCCCAAGCTGCAGTGACCACCAGGCTGTGGCTTCACCCCGGGGTTCTGCAACTGCCTGAGCCCAACCTGCAAAGTGCGTGCTCCTGTGTTTAAGGAAGAGGAGTGGGACAGTAGAGATTATCATCTCTATGGTACAGAGCACTGTTTACAAGTTTCTTTATTTAATGAAAAACAAAATAATCCATCTGGCACACAGAGCACAGTTTTATGAGCTCTGTGGGGGAAGAGAGCATTTCGTAGCTTTGTATCACAAAATAAAGCCAACAATTACAGTTCAGATTATATTTTCCTTTCACCTAAAATATCTGGATTTTTAGAAACTTCCTTTCTTTTCCAAAGGCCCTTCTGCTTGGCCTTCTGCCATCTCTTCTACAGATTTTTATGCTTCTTGTTTCCATATATACATTTATGTTGTTACAGGTTAGCTTCAGCAGGTGAAGCTGAAGCATAAATTGGGAGCTCAAGGAAAGACAGAGAATGCTAGGACTGCTTGCCTTTTCAATAACTTATTGTTAGTGACTCAAATCAGATTTGCAACAGCCCCGCTGTTTGTGCCAGAGGTGGCTGAGGTCCTGTTCCCACTCTGGAGTAGCCAATTCTCCCTGGCTCAGAGGCAATTATTCCAGGCAAGGATTTTCCTTTCCTCAACAAAGCTCCCCTTCAGTTAAACCCGGGCTGCTTCATCGCATGGGCAGCTGCCCATTGCAAGGCACGAAATACCACTCGCTCTCCTTCCCGTAGCAATCTTCTCTTACAATCAACAACTGCCTTTTGTTACTCAGAGCTCTCACAGCCATGCAATAGTCATAACTGATTCATGAGCACTATAGGCAGACTGTAAGATGCCCTTTAGAAACACACATTGTAAGAGTTGTGCCGTGCTTGTCTGCAGAAATGCTGGAGGGGAGGAGTCAATCTCTGCTGCTCTAACTTAATAAATCTTAAATCAATGAAGAGAGTGCTGTCCCTCAGAGGTGTTGTATATGATTGCATTGAGGAGAAGCTAAACTAAAGGACATAAATACTCTAGGAACAGCCACCCACTAAATAAACAGTTGGGATGGCTGGAAAGGCACAGGTGCATAGACATAGAGCCTCTCCAACATCTCCCCAGAGCACATTTTCTGTAAAACCCAGGTTTTCAGGTTTACAAACTAAATATTTGTCTCCTCTGGCTTGAGAGATGGTCTGCAGCATAATCAACCAACACACTCATTGTGTTTACTCTGCAAACAGCCTCGAACAATAGCACTAAGAAAAATAAAAAACTTCCTCATCACCCCCATGCCTGTAATCAGCTCTGTGGGAGGTTAATGGTCAGACCTAATTATCATGATTTGCAAGATTATACCCAAAGCACTCAGCCAAAACAACTGCCCTGGCTTCAAGAAAACTACTCAATTAAGGTCATTTGGATGGGAAGGAGGGTTTCTCTCGAGAAATGAGTCTTGTGTGCACCCACATTCCCTTTCCTTTTCCACAACTGCTGAA